ATGTGCAAATGAAGTGGTTCAGGCACTCACTGCAGAGTAGCTGCAGCAGCATGCAGCTCCTTACAGGTTAATTTATTCCGTTTCTTGGCACAGAATGTAAAGGGCACTTGGCACAGAGGGCTCTGCAGCACGGTGACCTCCAAAGGGCAGGGCATCACCACACCACCCACAGACCTGCTCGGGCTGCGAGCCTCCCTCTGCAGCCACCGAGGGCTTTCTGAGGCCACACAGACCACCTTCACTTGTGTGCAACAGAATGAGGTCTGCCACTTGTACCACCAGAACCCTGGCTGAGCACACTACAGCTGCTTTTGGAAATAAGGGTGCAATTCTTTCTCTATGGCCTATGATTTCTGACCTGACACAGGAGGCATATTTCAACCTCTTGGCTACCGTGAGTGATATTTAAGTTTCAAAGTTTGCTTTGGCTGACCCTCTCAGTCAAAGGCATAACTCTGCTCTGCTAATCAAGCTTTTGGAAAGCTTGCCAGTTCCATCCTTCAGTGATTCCTAGCCCTTGCCTTTTGCTCCACTGGGCTTCCATGATTTCATTTTTTTTTTCTGATACACTCAGCTTACCAGTTCTCTCAAATCAGCCATTTTACAGATTTCTGTCCTTTATCGGTCATCCCATCCATCTGTCTTCCTCTAGTAATTTTCAGGCTACAGGACTTCAGAAGCATTTTCTAGCATGTCATTTCTCCCTGGAGCCTCTCTAGGCTACTCCATAAAACTGTCTGACATCAGTGTCCCCAGCCTCATGCCACGCATCAGTGGCCTTGGGCTCATTGCTCTGCATCACTGCCCTTCTTGCCCATACTCATGGATATTGGCCTGTGTTTTAATTAGGATAAAACTGAAACCAAACAAGAAATATATGAAGTAAAAATGTAAATTATATTCAGTGAGTTGCAGGTGCTATCATTTTATCTTGAGCATTTGGTATATAAAGGACCTTACAAAGCATAAACAATTCAGCTTCAAAAATTCTTGTGGGATTTATTAACTTTTTGACAACAGCTTAATTTTGGACCTAAAGAGAACAGACATCCTGTCATCCAAGACTGCTTTCCCAAGCCAATAATACACTCCTGTTTTGAATGATAACTGAGTGTCATAACAGTGTTTTTCAACACCTCCTTTCCTGTTTGCTATAAAATATGAACAACTAAAGTGAGAAATACACAAGGATGCTTTCCCATTCTCTTGTGCTGAATGAAATTAGGTACTATGAGACATTAGGTGCTATGAATGAATAAGGTACTATGAGACAAAACCATAACTAAAATTGTTGTGATACTGTCTAGCAAGGGAAAGGCAAAAAGCTGCAAGGTTGCCCTAAAGTGAAAATATCCCCAGGAAAAAATAATCAGATTTGTTACCCTGGAAACCCAAGGTAGGTTATACATGTTAAGCCATGTTTCAATGCTTTTGGGTAGTTAAATTCCTATCAATCCTTATGTATGAGCCAAATAGTTCCCAAACTTTACATCATTTTCACATTGGTGCTGTTTACTTCAGCAAAATGCCAAATGTGCTATCCTTTCATTTGTTTTGTAGGCACTTATATGGTCTATTTTTGTTCTATAGATGAGGGAGGAAAATTTTGTGAAGTGCAGGTCAAGCATTTAGACATCATGTCAGTCAAAGTTGTGGTAGTTGTCTTAATCTTATTCTTATAGATACAAAATAGAAGTAATTTCTATAGTTGTTTCCTTAATAACTCTACAGTAAAATCCATGGAAGAAACATCTCTAATATTAAAACAATAATTTACATTTTTTAATGTTTTCAATATTTAAAATATTTAGCTAACTGAAAGCAAGAACAATCAGAAGCTAAGAAGAATTATTATATTTAGTCAGGTCCTATGCACAAATATTACCTCAGTTACAATGTAATAGTGCTGCAGCTGCCCAGCCCATTAGTGTGAACAGGACTTCAATCAAATCAACACAAGTCGTGGACTGCTGTCTTAATAAATCTGCAGTCTACTTATCCCATTTCACAATCTCCATCTTGCACCCAAATGTACAGACAAGTTACTCAAGAGATCACAGGGAAAGACAGGGAAAGATTCTTGTGAGTCTCTGCTGCAGTGTGAGAGACCATTCTGTCTGCAGAACGTGCATTGCTACACACGAGTGAGGGTAAGGTCAGCCCAGTTACAGTCACCCAAGTAGCAATTTGCAGTCTTGTCAGTCTCTGTAGAGCTAAGCTAACTAATGAGACTGAAAAATAACCACCTAATTTTAAGCCAAAGAGGGAGCAAGTATTCAAATATTTCTATGCTGTGACTGCATCAGGTTTGAAATGAAAAACATCTGTGGTGCTAGCTCATTATATGCACAAGGTACTGGAAACAATACTGGTCCTACATGATAAAAGCCAACAGAGTTTTCAGTGTCTCTTTGAGAGGAAGAGGTCGGGAGGAATACAGCAGTAGAGACTACTTTTTAAAGTTTGGGTCATTTTTCTGACACTAATTAGGAAGAAAACTCTTTTATTTCACATCAGCTTCTAGGTCACTTCATTCTGGATATGGCAGCTCAAGTCTGCTTTTAAAGACATAAGACTCTTCAGGGAAAAAAGGAAGAAAAATAATGTCATAAAGGGAGTTAATTTGTCAAACATGCAGTTCATCTTTTCATCAGCCTTTTGGATTCAGAAAAGCATTGAAATGAGTGACTTAAAAGTTTAAAAAATTGAAAGGATGGTGTACAGAAGTTAAGCAAACTAGAATACTTCATTTTTGTAATGGCAGTCATACCACATCTGAAAAAGGTTGTATCTCATCACAGCAAAGAATAATTTTGTCTAATTGAAACACCTACTGTAGGTAAACAAGTCACTTGAAAAGTCAGTTCTCTTATTTTATATTTATTCCAAAACTTTCAGTGAGAACTATATGAAAGACTTTCCCACCATCCAGTGAATGATAAGGGAAAAAAAGGATGCTTAGCATTGACTTTCTGATGTTGTCCCAGTCTGTAGACTGGGATTTTGACCAGGATCTTGTGGTCAACATACATCCTAAAAGTATGAAAATTGAGAGAAATATAGCTCGCATGATGCTGGTTTTGGCACAAATTGCCAAAGATTTCTGTCAAATACTCAATTTTCACCTCATTTTGTTCTTCTTTACTTTCTACCTCCGACCTCCTTTGATTCTCTCCCTTTCTCACTTCTTTCTCAAATTTCAGTGTTTGCTCTCTGCAGTGAATAACACATTCTTCTCACTTAGTCTTGCATCCTCCTGCCAACTCCAACCCCCTCCCCAATCAGCCTATGTCGAGAAAAAAGTATCTTGCTCTAATGGTGTTTAGTATCATTAGCCAGGCATCATTCATTACTCAAATTCAACCTTATTTTCTGCTTCAGTGATGGTAGTTCTCAATTAATTTAGCAGGTTTTAGACAAAATAGATGACACATTAATGTGTCCTTTTTTTTTCCTGACAGAGTAAATGAGCATCTGTCTGAATAGTAATCATAGAGAAAAATGTATTTTTTTTTTTTTTAAACAAAATCTTTGTTGTAAGAAAGAAAAACACACAAGACAAAACAAATTGAAACTACCCCATTTTCTTTAAAAATGTGTTATGGAATTTCACACAGATTATTTGCTTTTTAAAGAGGGAAGGAAAGAACAATAAATAGCCTTGAAGTCACACACAACAGAGCGTAAAATTAATATGAGTGTATGACAATCAGATTGGACATCGTGTTTAGATAAAAGCTTCAGGAGATTCTACATCCTTTCTTTGATGCTAATAGAGATACCTAAAGAAAATACAGAAACAAGGAACACATCCAGAGATAATTCCCACTGTGTCCTCCCAGCTTTGAGCAGTCTTTATTTCCTGGGGTGAATGTGGCTGCCTTGTGTTTTTAGAGTCTTAAATGATTTTCCTTAAACAACTTGGCCTTACTGGAGTTTTAAACAGACATTTATTTGGCATCTGCAGCATCTCGTGTCAGAGTTGCAACACTTTGCAGCTGGCTATCACTGCAGCTTATCTGTGCACAGTGTGGAGTACTTCCTTATGTTGCTTTGATTCTGCTGTCTCATAATTTCAGTTTATACCCTTCTTTCTCAAATTAGAAAAACACCCAACAATAATTTCTAATATCTATATTGCTCATGATGTATAGATTCCTGTCATACCTAATTTAGTAACTTATTTTTCCAGGCTGAGGATCCCTGAATTTTCTCCACAGAATGAAATCCCTCTGCATCTTCATTCATTTCCATCATCTCCCTCCATATCTTTTCCAGTTCTATCATTCCAGGAGCAGAATGCTTATAGGTCCAAGATGGGCCGTAATTGCAAAGTAATGCACAGTATTTTGACCATAAAAACATTTTCTATCCCACTCCTTGTAAATGCTACCTTTTGCTTTGTTAAATATCACCCAGCAACAAATTGATCTTGCTATAGAATAGAAAAATGAAACAGAAAAAATATCTATTCAAAGCACACAGCCCTTCTCTAAAACAGTTTTTCCACAGATTTCATTTTTGTCTCTGGACACTGAATGTCATTTGTCATTTTATTGTCTTGGCATGATGAATATACCAGCAGTTCCACAGAGTCTTATGTTGCAGTTTATTAGCATTGACACAATTGGTCACTTTTCTTTTTTTCCAGATTATTTACAAATATGCCAAACATTGTAGGCCTTGACACTTGAACCCTGCCATATCAAATATCCTTTTTTTTTTTTTATTAAAAGAATCAACAACACTGAAATAAAATATAAAGACTCATCAAGATATAAATGAAAATAGCTTCATTGCTAAATGCATTAGTTACTCTGGGGCAAATGGACCAATATAAATATATACAATGTCCCAGCCATTGTCAAACAAATTGAACTTCATAAGTTGTATGGATAGCCTGATTAGGTAAAACCTAATTATAGAGACAAGCTTATGGCAAAACATGCTTGAACCATCATTAAAATGAATCCATCTAGGAAAAAAAAAAATTAAATTACCTGCTGTAAGGGCTGTCCGCCAAAACAGCTCTGCCACCAGTACCTTCAGAGACAACATCCAGGCTCCAAAAAACCTCAGGTGATTTGGCCTTTTTCTGATAAAACATGGAGTGTGAGTCTAAGGTGGTCTCTAAGGAAACCAAGATAGTAACCATAAAGGTCTTTGTAAATCAAACCTGCAGCTGGTATGAAAATTAGGGTTTGGAGCATAACTGAGTGAGATAGTGAGTGTATGTATTCCTTCATATCTTGTTGATAGTTGTAGTTTCATTTGTCTCTGTTAGTAGAGACTAAAGCTGAGAAAGAGACTTATATTAAGTACATTTTTGGGGATGTAAAATATTTTCTGTGGACATTTCATTCTCTTCTCAGGATCTGTTTATTCTCTCTTGTACAGTCAATTAGCTTTAAAAGAATCTCTTCTGAGACTTCCGAACCACCTTCTCTGTCTCCAAACCCACGAGGTGTGTGAGCTGCTGCAGGAACACCTTGGTTTACAGTCAAGCTCTGAAAAAAGAGAAAGGAACCAAGTTTCAGAAGGAAAATAGGTGAAGGCAAGTATTTAATGTTCATGGTGCAGAAGTTCCCAAAGGACAGAAAGATAACTTGTCTGGTAGCTTACAAAGGGAGTTAAAAGAAGACAACTAATTTCTGCTTCTTTAAGATTATGCTTACAGGGAAATTAGCTATATAAAGCTAGCAATGGTTAGCAATATGAAATGCTGTGCACAGCCCAAGAAAATTTAACCTTAATAGCAACTTTACAACAAAAAAAAGAGAGAGCTTGACAGCATTGCCTTCATGTATTTTGCTCAGGGCCAGACTGAAAATAAGCCAGGAAGTGGGGAAAAAAATGGGTGCAAGTAAGCTACTAATTATGTGGGGTTTTCCCAAGGTCATTATGTGTTTTTCAGTTTATGACTTTAGCTAGGTTAGATCTTTTAGCTCTCTGAGAAGACGCAAGAATATTTATTAATGATATGTAAGTAAACTGAATTGGTAATATTTACATATGTAACCATTGAAATAAGATAAACTTCTTTTCGGGATATAGTCTTTATTATGAAACTTGTGAGCCCTAATCTGGATAGCAGACCTCTTACCACGTCCTTTGTAAATCCTTTCAACCGTTATAATTGAAATAATCTAAAATTTGATTTAAATACCTGGTTTCAATTGTGAAACCTACGTTCATCCAGTTTAATTAGCTGGAAAAATATCAATATTTATTGCTCAGTTTTTACAGTTCAATCAACAGAAATTACAGGTTTGTGTTACCTTTATCATTAGAAATCTTTTGCATGTTCCAGTTTTTCACATTTTATTACCTCTGTTATGTAGCAGGACCTCTCACTTTTTGATAGAAAAGGTGAATACTTTTTATTGCATTTACCTATAAATTAGCACATAGGTTATTTTATAAAGCAACAATTGCCTAGGGGGTTTTCTGTCTCAGGAGAGGGTGACAGGGTCAGAGTAAGGTGGTCATTTGTCTTAGTTTCCATTTTACATAAGTAACAAATGATCTTGGACATAGTTAAAAGCTGGAAGGCCTTGAAGTGTAGGGATATCTCTGACTCTTAAGGTAATCCCAAAAAAGTTGGAGTTTGCAATGTTGCAGAGATGTAGCTGAAGTAAACTCCTTGAAAGAGAAACAAAATTTAACTGGGATAGGGCTCAAGTGTGGTTCATAGAGCTTGTCAGCAACAGAAGACGCTTTTCTATTAAAAGTAACTCAACTAAATCACAGCTTGACTGTTCATTTAATGTTGTTATAAACACTATACCAAGTTGCCATAGCATCCATTTTTTCTCACCAAGTGAGATTCACAATTTTGAAAAGAGAAAACAGTTAAAGGTAAATATGTAGTTTAAATTTTGTTTCAATTTAAAGGTTGAAGATCTCACTAAAAAAATTTCAGCTGACTTGCCTGTGATGATATCAGTTCCTACCTACTTATATTTGATTAAGACAAGGGAATTACCTCGCCCCATCAAATTCTGTATTAGACCCATCCAAAAATAACTCTGTGGATTTTTCATTACAGAGAGATAAATTTTTAAAACTTATATTTCCATTCTTTTTTATTACTGTATTAATTCATTTAGATTTAAAATAATAAAGAAGTCCTTTCAGAGGATCTGGATGATCTATTATAACATTCATAATATAAAAATTCAGAAACACATTAAAGCAATACTTTCAAAAATAATTCAATGTGTATGTTTCAACTCCCTTCTCTTTTACCTCCAAATGTCCTCTTGTCCTTCTTTCTCTCTACTCTCTGCTTCATGAGGCATTATACTCTGAGTATTTTCAGCCTTTCCAGAGTCCAAACATAAAGTTGTTTTAAAGTGATTTAATTTTATGCTGATAAAATTAACCATAATATTTTTTTTTAATTTTATGCTGATAAAATAAACCATAATATTTTTTTTCTTTTGGTGAAGATGGAACACAAAGAAAAGCAATAATATTTGGAGGATTTATGTTGTACTACCTGCTTTTAACTTTTGCAAAATAAAAAGGATAAAAAAGTTTCCAAGTGAGAAATAAGTGAGACCTCAGAATATTCTGTTTCCAAATTTCTCCTGTTTCATCATTTCGAAAGATGGTTTAGAATCATGGAAAGGAAGAAAGAAAGTCCAAGAAGGAGCACTTTGGCAAACAAGAAATCTTGTATTATCTGTTACATAAGTATTCAGAACAGTGAGACAGAAAAAGCAGGTTATTGTACCAAACAAAAATATTCAAGACAGTCGTTAATTTAATATAAAGAGCTCACACTCTTTCTTTCTCCTTTTAAAAAGCAAGTATTTCCCATATGAAACAGAGAAAATTAAGCAATTCCAAAATCCTCTTAAAAAAGCAAACAACAAAAACCAAAATCTCACAGTATATTATTTTGTGTGCTTTAAATGGTAACATGACCTTGCAGGCAGTACATTGGATGATCTTTTCATTCACTCATCCTGACTACATTTTGCTTTTAATCTCTGCTGAGGAGATAGAGAAATAATTGTCACTTTTTTTTTGTTAGAGAACGCTAGATGATTTCCACATTTACACTGTATGATTATCAGTCCCACCGTTTTCTAAAACTGACTCTTCTGGAGCCCTTCCGTGGTTTTTTCTCATTCTAGAAATGCAGACACATTGTCAAGATTATTATCATATTCAAAGTAATTCAGTAAATGTTATTATCATGGTCCTTGTCTCCAAATATCAGGAAACGGCAAAGAAGTGTAAAACCAAGTACCATTCTCTACTATTAGGAATATGAAACAAAATAAACAAGAGCTCCTTCAAACATATTTTAATTCTAACAACCACATTTAAAAGAAAAAAAAAATAAAACAAATACCATCTCTTCCTAATAATAGAGTTTCATCATAAAACATCCCTGTAAAAACTATTTAATTTTCCACTACAGGGAGGGAGGATTTGATCTCTTATTAAACATTTTATGGAAAAGTCTAAAAGTGCTTTCAATTATTTATCTGAATTGAAATCTAGGCCTGGGAAACTGCTGGCATTACACACACACACATAATATTATCAGCCCACTGAGTGCTATTAGGTCATAAAATGCTGCTGTAGCAACATCTCTGTTACAGCTGCTGGTGCTCATGCAACTTTTACTACAGTTATAAAGCCATTTATTACATTTTCTTTATGATGCTAATGCATTGCGGTCTGTTATTTTATTGTTCCCACTGTGATAAAGACTGCAATGTATGATAGTGTGGAAAAAAATACAAACCTAATAACATACCCTGCTGCATTAAAAATCTCTTAGATAAGCTTAAGAGACTCATAAAAATATTAACAGGGGATACCAAAAGGGAAATATTTGCTAGGACATTTTCTTTCCTTTATTTTATTGCTCCCCACAGAAAGTTTTTTAATTGTGCTTTGTCAAAATATACAAAGTATAATATGAATGTGACTTCTTTTCTTAATTATAATGCCATCATTGTGGAAGGATATAATTTGCAGTATGCTATGAGGAAACATGACTAAATAATATCTAAATAATCACTGAAAAGTAGAAAAGTCATTAAAAATAATCATTCCCTTATACACAGAGGTACATAGCACTAGATAATTACAATTTGTTCAAATTGTCTGCATTTACCTATTCGTTTATCATAATTTTCCTTCAAGAAAATGCTGTGTCTTTTGTGGAACAATCAATTCACCTAATTAACTATTAACCTGGTGCTAAAGCTCATTTAGAGACTCACCCACCAACAGTACAATAATTCAAATAAAAATTCATTACTGTTCAACTAAGGTTATGGTTTGAATATTCTTCTGGATGTGGATTATAGCTAGTGTTCAACAAGTGGAGGAGGAAGAATTGCTTCAATATTTTGATACCTGAAAGACTGCATAAGGAAGAAAGTATCTTATAGGAGGATTCTAACAGTAAAGTTTCTTGTATTTAAAAAATCTATTCCTTTTTCTTAACACAATCACAGACTGTTCTGTTCTTAAACACATTGTGTCCCAGAAATAACAATATTTCTTCTTAAAATATACATATCAAAAAGAGGATTGTGACATAGATTTTTAAAACTAACTTTCCAACAAATTTTCACAGAATACAAACACCAAAATAATATTTTTAGTTTTGAAATAAACATTATTCTCACAACCCTTGGAAAATGGAGTGGACCTTGCTTTTTTTTCTGTTATATTTTCTAATGTTTATAAACTTTCAATTTTAATCTACTGTGGTCAAACAATACACATTTTAAAATCTAGCTCTGAAAATACCTGATCTTGTTATCTTGCATTCTTGACTGTATCAACTGACAAGAATTAGCAATGGCATTTCACATATATTGAGATAAAAACACATTGCAACACTCTCTTATTTGTATAAATATCTGGCTGCAAGTCACCTTTTTCAACAAATGCACCCACAGCTGCTCTATGTTGTTACAACTTCATCTTTTTACAATGAATCCTATCATTAAAAGTGTCAGACATAGACTATGATGACTCACAGAAGAAAAAAAGGAAAGAGGAACGTTTTTATACCTTATGAGAAAAAATTATAGTGCTAAAGCAAACACATTGAGAATTATCTGGTTCTCTTTTGAAGACGCAAAATATGAAAAGCTTCTATAGCAAGAAATCTGTTACAGAAATATTTCGATATTTTTTTAAATATTTCTGTACTAAACAAAATAACAGAAGGATATTTTCTGCGTTGTGAAGTACTTAGGCTGTTAAACTGTTAATATATTACCTGAAAGGATGACTGCTAAGAAGTAATAATTTAGCAAGATTCACCCTAGGGTGTCGTCATGACTATAAAGCAGTATTAGAGGATGTTGTGAGAAATAAATAAATCAGCCATCAAAAAGACATCAGCAGGAAGATTCAGTGACTGAAGTAAAAAAACAGAGAATTAAGGAAAAACTGGCAAGTCAGTAATAATATATCTGAACAAGAAAAGGCTTGAAACTTCCTACTGTGATTGTTAGGAAACTGAGCTACTGAGATAATCAGTAAAGCTGAAGACAGAGAATCAGCAGTATTTGGAAATTATCTTTAGATTTTTTTCTGCTCATTTGATAAAAAAGACTGGAAATATGATGACTAATCTTTTTTTTTTAATATGTAATACTAAAGTAAAAGCAGAGCTTCTATCTGCTTCAGGAAGTGAACAAGAAAGAAGGAATGCACATTAGAAGGAAGACAAAAAAGCATATGATGAAAGCCAAAGGCTTAAAACACATTAACTATTTACATATGATGTGACAGAAATTTCTGATATTCATCAGTCAGTTTTTTCAACATAATGGTGTTTATTCAGTGCTAGAAATTATGAGAAGAATGACTGAAGCTTGTCACAGAGTGGGAAACAGTGAAGAACTATTTTATAGTGACAAAGATGTATTGAAGAATGTGGCAAAGCTTTCACGTATGTTGGCTAGATTATATGAAGCTATATATTAGTGTGTCATATCTGAATTTTAAGAGTGGCTGAAATGATGAAGATTTATGGAGTGTTTGTGATATTCATATATAAGACCTAAGATACAATTTTGCTTTAAGGATAACAGTAAAATGCCAGATAAAGGAAGATAAAGTATGGATTTCCCAAGATGTTTCCTGTCATTCTAGTTCTTTCTTTCCTCTTAGGTGTCTTGAAGCATCCAAAGGAAAGGTACCCTAGTGACAGCTAAGTGGAAATCTTATGCCACTTTTTTCTTCATACATGGACAGAAATTATGATGCCAAAATGAAATGTTAATTCAGTAATCAAATTTTAATCCATTTTTGAAACAGAAAAGAGTAGCCTTCAGATTGAGTCATGTGATTATCTTGTCACTGTCAGAGAAACTAAATGTAGAAGAAGTACAAAAAGGTGTAATAGAGCATCTGTTTGGGAACCAAAAGCTTTTAGGAGTTCTTGAGAAGAAAAAGGCTTCCAGATTACTGGAAGTAAAAAGTAGACTCCAGAAAGGCTGCTTGAGGAGTTATAGAGTCTGTTGGAAGGAAAGACAAGCTAGGAAAACTAATTTCAGTCAATCAATGTATATTTAAACCCAGTTTGCCACTATCCCATCCAATTCCATTGTTTGCAGAAAATTTCAGAGAAAGCAGGCCAGGAACAAGAGTCATCTAATGAAGAGGCCTGATAGCTAGTAGGGGTACTCTGGAACAGAAGGGTATAATTGCAGAAAAGCATATGAGATAGATCTTGGACCTGGTTCCACAAGTAAATGAGGAATTTAGTCCTACTGTGAGCACTCACTAGACGCATAGCAAGATATTCACAGATATGAATTGATGGATAAAAGACCAGCATAGGATTGTGGAAAAAAATTACAAAGACATAGTGGCTAATTATAAGAGGACTGCCAGTAGAGGACTGAGAAGAGAAACTGAGTTTTTTGGCAATGCAGAAAAAATGTACTCTGAAAGAATGCATTGTTACAGATGGTAGGAAAGTTGTCAGTCCAGAGGGCAGGATATGGGCCAAGCCCCAGGGACAATTAGTCTTATTGTAATTGGATTTACTGACAAAGAAACCTGCTACACAGCATAAACTGTTATTTCATTAAAATAAAAGTCATCTAAGCCAATAATTGGGAGTTTTGCAAACACTGCAGCAGTGAGATTCACAAGTGGGTTCCCACGAGCTAAAGCAAAACAGCTGGAGAGACAAACAGATGTTGATATCCAGTTGGACTGAAACACCCAGAGCAATCCCAAACCTGAGAAGTCAAAAAGGGTTGCAAGCATACTAAAAAATTAAAATGTCTTGATCAACAAGAATATTTGCAAAATTATGTGAAATACATATTTTAGAATGGAGGATCACTCACAGAGGCAGGACAAAGTCTTTTCTTTTCCCTTCCAAAGGCCTGATCATCTCTCCGTGCATCATCTCACAACAGCAGTGTCCTATTGAGTCTTTTCTGTTGAAGCTGTTTCTGTTTATTTACTGCAGTCACTGGAAAAAGGACTTGAATTCATAATAACTCATTCAATCCCTCAACTAACCACTAATTAGCTTGTTTTGCAACATTGTCTCACTTCTCTGGCTAATGAATTATAATAGTTTTTCAAATTCCAGCCAAAATTTTTGTATGCACTTTGTACAATATAAAGCAACATTGATAAAGATGTTGAAAGAGAGGTTTTTGACAGGATACCCATTTGCCTATTTTTACGGTATTCTAGAAGGTGGCACAATAAATCTCAAGCCTTTTCTTCAAATCAGGGATTTGGCTCTCCTGTGGTCCAAACAACTCATCTAATTGTGGCCTTTGAAGAGAAGCATATCTGTCCTCATCCAATTCTTCCTTTTCCCTCACAGGATTTCCTAGCTCTTTTTCTATTTCTTAGTCATTGACTTCTAAGACATGAAATCACAAGTGCACACACAGTGTACTCTTATCACACTCCTGACTCAGGCAGTCCAAAAGAGATAAAATAAGAAAATGCCTTATTTTTTCATCCCCTGCAGACTAAGGATACAGCAAAAGCCAGGTAATTAAAGATTTAGGCAGCTTTATACATGTCCTGGCAGAAAATTCAGTCTTGAGGGATTTTAGACATCACAAAGGAAATGCAGCAGCTGAAAAGGTCTTTTTTGCATGCCAGTGATCCTTAATTTGGAGTTAGTAACCTAATCAACTCTTTAAGAATCTTAAGTCTGTAGTGAACCTATTACCATGTTTTTCACAATAAAATCAACAGCCCTGTGGTAACTCCCATTTTACTATCGCCCATAAGATTGTTTTAAATGTTTTAATATATGGGGCTTTTATGGGTTTTCCTGCTAGTCTAACAAGTTGGAGCTGGTATCACAGCAGTAATATTTTGATATAGCAGAAATCACAGTTGGCTCCATTGGCTTTTACAAACACCTGATCTCTCATCTACCAGCCTCTAACAACATTATGTTTTGTGTTAGTGTTATCACATGTTACATACCAAATTCAGCAATCAGCTTATTATACAACCAGGAAGTCAGCACTTTTCTAAGCCCTAGTGGAACAACTTATCTCACAAGTAAAACTTTCAACTTGTTAGTATGCCTTTGTCATATAGAAGAGCAGTGTCACAAATTGAGATGAGGACAGAAGGGAGTAAGCTATGTCCTGTTAGCAATACATTTAATACTCAACTGCATACTTTAAAAAGGCAGAAAAAAATTTCAGTTTCCTGCATTGAAGAACATCACCAAGACTTAAATCCCTTATATGAAACTAATTCCAGAAGCAGATGGTTGTATACAATTTTGATGGCCCTTCAGTTTCTTTATTGCAAATAAAATACTTGCTAGGTTTGGTAAAACAAAAGTAGAGCACAGCTGTCTTATTTGTGTATATATTGACTAAGCACACATAATCAGTCTATAAATGATGTGGCACAGTTAAAATAAAAAAAAAATTACTCACAGCATGTCATTACTGAACATATGCCCCCAAATGAGCAGGCACCAGGTACCTGTCCTCTAGGGGCAATTCATCAAAGCAAAATAAAAGTAAACTACAGTATACTTCTTTCTAATAAGAGGAGCAATCCTTCTGACATATAAAGAAGCCTAAAGCATGGAGGTATAATCAAAATTATAATTAACTGTTATAAGCCTTAAGCACTATCTGATTTATGAAACTTTGATCAGACAGTGATTAAATTATTTTTAGAGATATGCAGTATGTGTCAGATCTCAATTATCCAGAGCTATCTTACCTGCAGGGAACTCTTGTTCAATTCATACGACATGTTTTGTATGGAATGGCTCTATAACGAGAATTTTTGCTAGGCTTCTTCTACAAAGATTCATTTTTTCCTGGCAGCAAGTGGTCTGATGATCTCACGTTGTTTGCTGTTACTGGAGAGATATGAAAGCCAAAACCATCATAATGAATGCTGTGTACAGGTTTTCTGGATTGGGAGAGATAAAAGTGTCTTTTGAGAGGAAAACAAATGAGTTTTCAACCTGCAAACCCTGATTGCCTGCCCTATCCTTATTACTGAGAGCAGTGAGCAACAGCCATATCTCGCATGGACAGAAGGACTGAAATGGAATCTGTGGGGCAGAAAGGTGAAGAGTTACCAAGTTGCATCAGCTAAGACCCACCTTACACAATGATGTAACACTGACCTGTTATGTGCCCTTCATCACTCTTTAGGTCTGGAACAGGTGTACAGGATGCATATACTCTTTACACGCCATCTCAGACTTGTTTCACAACCTTCTCTCATCACTCAGTTTTTTTTTCCAGGGCCATATGGCTGCCTTTCTGACAGCCTCCAGCCTCCTTTCCCAGTTTCTGGTTTGTGAGCATGGTGGCTGCTCACACAAATTCGTGAGATTCATGTTGACCAGGTCCCAGACAAAATCACTTCATATTAAAAAATTAGGACACATTTAATTAATGGGTGAAATTAGAGAGGATCTTTTTTTATTACTAAAGGTCACCTTTTTCATTTTTTTTATTTCAATTTTTTTTTAAGTGAAAATGCTGATTTTGATGAAAATGTCATTGACTGCTTAGCATTAAATAGTAGCATCTTTTTCAGGTAAGGATTATGAAATGGCTGCACCATGTCAACTCAGAAGGTATATTTATACAGAAAAGATATACAGAAAAGGCTGCTATACCTATAACCTCCCAGGCTCTTGCTGCCTTTATTGTATTCACAACACAAAAGCAAAGTTTCCTGTTCTGCTCGAAAGATAATTCCCCAGGTCTTTTAGCTTCTAAAGTGCTTTCTTTATCACTTCACATGTGATAGACACTTTTTTATGTTCTAGTTTATAAACATACAGTTTTTCTATCAGTTCCAGTGCTACATACCATTCTAAGCAGAAGAAAAAGCTACTGTGAAGAAAAAAACAAAACAAAACAAATCAGCAAACCCACAATAAAGACCATTTGCAACAATCTATACTACTTTCCTGATTCTCTTGCATCTTCCCCAAGCCCTCACTTCTTGTCTACATTTTTTTTTTCTGGTGGATTCTCTGTACCTAAATTTGTTGGCATTAAAGTGTTTGTTTGATTTAATTTTACTGCCAGAGCTCTGCCACTAAACTCTCTTACTGATTTTTACTATATTTGCAAAAAAGTGTTTTTGCCAGTATCTCTTATTTCAATGGGCAATATATGCTAACGTGTCAAGACTTGGTATATGTGCAACTCTGCTAGGGCTTTATTGGCCTCACTGCATCGTAAAGTAGTTGGAAATCACTAATGTAGCTGAGAAAGCAAAAACTGTTAGGGTGGATCAAATATGTCTTCTTTTTACTTTATACAGCTCCTGGTAACGAATCCTAATCACCTTCTCCATTATCTTTTCTGGATTCGCATCTTTTATGAGCAGATGCATCCTTTACCAGTTGGGAAAATAATGAGATCTTGTTGCTCATTTTCATGGAATTACAGAACCATAGAATGGGTTATGGGTTAGAAGGGAGCTTAAATAGCAGCTATTTCCAACTAGATCAGATATTCCTAGGAATGCCATCCTCTAGACCAGGTTGCTCAAAGCCCCATCCAGCTCTGCCTTGAACTCTTCCGAGACTGGGATGTCCACAAGTTCTCCAGGCAATATTTTCCAGTGTTTCTGGAACAGTAAAGAATTCGTCCTACAGTAAAGGATTTCTGTCTAGTATCTATTCTAAACCTACTCTCTTCCATTTTAAATCCATTCCCCCTCATCCTATCCCTGACCACCCTTGTCCGAAGTCCCACTCCAGCTCTCTTGTTGGCCCCCTTCAGCTACTGGCGCACTGCTATAAGGTCTCTCTGGTGCTTTCTCTTCTCCAAGATGAGCAGGCCCTGCTCTCTCAGCCTGTTTGCGTTGGAGATATTCTCCAGTCCTCATCTCCATGCCCCTCCTCTGGACTCCAACACGTCAACATCCTTCTTATTTTTCATAACCTCAGATAAGTTTTCCACTCTTCCAATTGTCCAATTATATTTATTATTTGGATTCCAGAGACTGCAAGTCTGGATTTGAGTGGGAAAAGGGTAGCTGAGCAGCCTCTCAAAGCCATCTCCAGCATGGAGTCAGGGGTAGTGCCAGTACCAGATCTGGTCAGTCAGCAGATGCCACAAGCCAGAGCCTGTCCATAGCATTCCCCTCTTAGCTGTGCATCCAGCGTTTAACAATTTTCTAGCTCTTCTTCCTGACTTATCAACAGCAGGTTTTAGAAGTTTTGATGCTTCATTTCCTTTCTAAGGCAGTTTCTTTGTCTTCAAAGTACAGGAATCATTAATTAAGCATAGTGACCTCTTGGACACCTTTGTCATTAATTATGAATGAGAGCAGTCAAATATTCTATCCTCATAATAATGCCAAGATTAGATTAATATCAACTCTGAACTCTAGGATGCCCTCCAAAGTTCAGAAACAAAAAAAGAGCAAGTAAGAAACAAAAAGTTTTAATGGAAAGGAGAATCTTCTCTGTGAGTAGGCCTAAGGTGGATGATGACAGGATTTTCAGAGCTTCATCTGTCCCAAAATGTACTCTCACACTGAATGAGCTGCACTGGTTCATATGGGAACTAGTGGGAAATAGGAGTACCTATTTTGTGACTTCCTGGCCTAATATTTTTCTTCATAGGTTTTCTTTTACCAGTAGACAAAGAATCTGGTCACAGAACAACACTCAAGAATATGTAATCTTTTTATTTTAATATAACATAAAATGTGGCTTATCCATATCAATAGACTTTCAATGGAAAACTCTGAACTTCAATGAAAAATCAGGCAGTTTTTCAAAGTTATTTACAAGTAAACAATATAAATATTGAAAATTTTAGATGCCCACTATATCTGTCAATAGGAAGTTATGTCTTGCCATGACTTGCCAAGACTTCATTTTCCTGTTGCAGCCTTACTATCTGCACCAGGTCTGCAATTCTAGAGAAAGACAGACTGCAAGA